CTCAGGGCTACCAGGACTAGAAGCTATCGAGGCAAAACTTGAGAAACTTCGACCGGTTCTAACGCCCGAGACCGCCCTTGAGGCTTATTCTCAGAGGATTGGCAATGACAACTCGGGGGTCGTCCAACAAGCACTTGCCGAGCTAGCCACATATTTGAAGCAAGATGATGTAGCACTTGTGACGTCGACAACTTCCCAGCAACCTGGATCTATCATTCCCAGCTTGCTTCGAGCACTGCTCGACTGTGCGTACAAGTACAACGGACTGCACGTCGAGATATCTCGATTAGTGGTAGAGTGCATTGGCCTGGTTGGCTGTGTGGATTCCAACCAAGTTGAAGCTGCCCGAGAACATCGTTCTATTGTCATTTTGGACAACTTTGAAAAGCCTGAAGAAGTATCTGATTTCGGGTTATTTATCCTAGAAGAAGTGCTCGTTCCCGCATTTCTCTCAGCAACAGACACTAAGATCCAAGGGTTCTTATCATACGCAATGCAGGAACTCTTGGAGAGGTGTGATATTAAAACCGTATGTAGCATGCAGGATACGGGTGTGCTCTCAGGAAACGAGATCTATCGCAAGTGGATGGCAATCCCTGAGAATGTGCGGGAGGTTCTTGAGCCATTCCTGCGATCTAAATACATTGTAGCGCCAATGGCCCCAACGGCAACTGCTTATCCGGTCTTTCGTCCGAATAAGCCCTATGCCACTTGGCTAAGGACATTCGTTCTGGGACTTCTTCAGATGGGACAAAATCCTCATGCAGACATGCTCTTTGAACCGCTCTCTCGAGTTATTCGAGTCAAGGATCTATCAACTGCGGAGTTTCTTCTTCCCTACCTTGTTGCACATGTAATCATCGGACACAACAGTGGCACGTCAGTCAAGAACTCTGTTCTTGAGGAATTGAAGTTAATTCTGGAGTGTGAAGCTGAGGACAGCTCGCCCTTGGTGGTAAAGGAAGACATGAAACGGTTTTACTATGTAAGTCGAAATCTTCATTATCAGGGGATTGTTACTGACGATTTCTTAGTCTGTCTTCCGGGTTCTAGATTATCTCATGCGCTGGGTTCAGAACAAGCGATCAGTGCCAAAATTGACGACTCTAGACAAGGAGAGCCTGGCAAGGGTTCAACGGGCTCTGGATCTGATCCCTGCGCAGCTCATAGCACAACGTGCGATTCAGTGTAATGAGTATGCGCGTGCTCTCTTCCACCTCGAACAGCACGCTCAGAATGTGGAGCAGAAGAAATCTGAGCCTGAGGAGAGAGTTCGACTTCTCGAACAGCTTCAAGACATATATGCGAACATTGATGAGCCTGATGGCCTGGACGGCATCTCGGCCCATCTTCCTGCGCTCGATCTCAATCAGCAAATATTGGGCCACAAGAAGGCTGGGCGCTGGGGCGCTGCTCAGACATGGTACGAGATGCAGCTGGTAGAGGAACCTGACAACAGCGATATTCAACTAGAGCTCCTCAACTGTCTGAAACAAGCAGGTCAGCATGGTAAGTATCCCTTTCGCGATCCTCGAAGAAGCGAAAGCTAACAAGTGTCAGATAATCTCCTGAATCATGTGGAAGGTATCCGTGCAAATAGCTCCAGCGACAACCGTATTATGCCCTTCGCTGTGGAAGCTGCATGGGTCACCGGCCGTTGGGAAAGCCTAGAGAAGTTCACAAATCGGTTCCAAGGCAGCAAGTTACACGACTTTAATATGTCAATTGCCTATCTCTTTGATTCTCTTCACGCAGGACGGGGCACAGAACACTATACTGAAATTTTACGCGAGATTCGCGAAAGCGTTTCTTCATCCCTGAATGCGTCTGCAACGACATCACTTCGCACAGCACACGAGCAGTTACTTCGGAGCCATGTATTGACAGACATAGAGATGATCATTTCCGCGGGAAATCAGAGTGAAGCGGAACATCGCAAGCTCTTGTCACTTCTCGATAACCGTCTGAACATGATTGGCGCTTATTCCAACGACAAGCAATATCTTCTGGGAGTCCGCAGGGCTGCAATGATGCTAACAAAGTAAGTCAAGTGTTGCATCGCTTTTAGTAGTGGTTTGATAACTGACTGTCTGAAGGCCCAAATTTGCCACTACAGATATCTCCGGGCTATGGCTGTCTAGCGCCCGCCTCGCTAGGAAAACAAACCTAGTCAACCAGTCGTTTAACGCAGTATTACATGCCTCGCGCTTGGGGGATAACGGTGCAACGCTTGAGAACGCCAAGCTTCTATGGAGAGACGGGCATCATCGCAAGGCAATCCAGCTGCTCCAAGGCGCTATTGAGCAGAAAAAGTTCATGACGCAGACAGGACCAACTACCACAACCGGAACTGAAGCAAGTGTCAAGGAAAATGGTCAAGAAAAGCTGCTCACTGCTCGCGCACAGCTCCTACTTGCTAAATGGCTAGATACCGCAGGGCAAACCAATGCCACAACTCTGCGGGAGAGGTATCAGCAGCCAGCAAAGACATGCTCAACTTGGGAGAAGGGGCATTACTATCTCGGAAGACACTACAAAAAAGTTTTGGAATCCGAAAAATCGCTCAAGGCCGATGATCAAAGTGACTATGTTGTCACAGGCGAAATTGCAAGGCTGGTCATCGAGAATTACATGAGATCCCTCAACTATGGGACAAAGTTCCTGTACCAGACGCTCCCAAGGATCTTGACCTTGTGGCTAGATATCGGCGCCGATGTGGACAGGCCTCCTGAGGGCAAAGCCTCCGTGTCTCGTGAATTACACAAGCGACGGGTTGAACAATTAAACAACCTTCACCAATTCCTCGACAAGTATATCCAGAGACTACCCGCTTATATATTCTACACAGCGCTGCCACAGGTAGTCGCTCGCATCGCACACCCTAACCCGAGCGTGTTTGATCGCTTGACACACATCATTGTCAAAGTCGTGGAGGCGCATCCACGACAAGCCCTGTGGGGGCTCATCGGGATCATGACATCGAAGCAGGTGTCTGAAAGAAAAGCAAGAGCTACACAGATTCTTCAAGCCCTAAGAAACGGTTCTAAGAAAGTCGAAGGGTCGAATTACGATCTTAAATCCCTTCTTCGGATGGGAGAGAGGTTGGCTGAGCAGCTTCTTCTCGCATGCCAAAACGGGGACTTCCACGGCAACAAGACGGTTCGTGCCAGCTTGACGCGAGACCTTCGCTTCAACCCCAAATGCACGCCGTGCCCGCTCGTCGTGCCCGTGGAGAGTTCCCTCACGTGTACCTTACCAGCAGTATCGGAATTTGTGAAGAGACATCAGGCATTTTCTAGAGATGTCGTCACGATTGACTCATTCCAAGATGATGTTTTGGTTCTCAGCTCGCTGGCCAAGCCGAGACGACTGACTGCTCGTGGCTCTGATGGTAAGAATTACATGCTTCTTATCAAGCCAAAGGACGATCTTCGCACAGATCAACGTCTTATGGAGTTCAACGGGATGATCAACAGATCACTCAAACGTGACGCCGAGTCCAGTAAAAGGCAGCTCTACATCCGAACGTATGCTGTTGTGCCACTGAATGAGGAGTGTGGTATCATTGAATGGGTTCCGGGTCTCAAGACAATGCGCGATATCCTCTTGAATCTGTATTCCATCAGAAAAATCTATCCTGATTACATGTCTTTGAAACAGGTGATGGAAGAAGCGTCGACGTCTGAGTCCAAAATCCGGAGGTACATCGACGAAGTGGTGGGCCGCTTCCCGCCTGTCCTTCATCTTTGGTTCATTCAACAGTTTCCAAACCCATCAGCGTGGTTCGACGCACGGCTGAGATATACTCGCTCATGCGCAGTCATGTCAATGGTTGGGACGATTCTTGGCTTGGGCGATCGGCATGGTGAAAATGTCAATCTGGAAGAGGGCAATGGCGGTATCTTTCACGTCGACTTCAACTGCCTATTTGACAAGGGCCTGACTTTTGCAAAGCCAGAGCGTGTCCCCTTCCGGTTGACACACAACATGGTGACAGCAATGGGCATATACGGATACGAAGGTCCGTTCAGGAAGTCTTCAGAGTTGACGCTCAGCATTCTGCGGCAGCAGGAGGAGACGCTGATGACTGTCCTTGAATCTTTCATTTACGACCCAACTCTAGATCTACAGAAGGACAAACGGACTGCAAGAAGAACTGACCAAGGAGGCATCAAGCTACAGCCACAGAGCGTGGTGGATAGCATCAAGAGGAAGGTGAAGGGCTTGCTGCCCAACGAAAGCATCCCTCTCAGCGTCGAAGGCCAAGTGGAGGAGCTCATCAAACAAGCCGTGGACCCTCGAAACTTGACTTCTATGTATATTGGCTGGTGTCCATTCTTGTAAAAGCTGCATCAAGGGGTCCCAGGTTGCGGCATCTCATCATTATTGCGTGCATACGGGAACGGCGCTTAGGTTGGGTGTATTGATCTGGCAATGCAGAATGTACAATGGATATGGCGAATTTGGCGCAATAAGGCAGACTTTATATCAGATGCAATTGAAACAATAGACTTCAACGAGAACAGCCATTCATATGCGACTGAGAATGAGCCCCGGGTGAGCGGCAGAGGCTGGTGTTGTGATTGATGTGACAGCGTGGTGAGGTGGCAGCCTGAGGCGAAGCGATGGAACGCGCTGCAACACACGTGTGCTGGGGGGTAGAAGGGAAGGTGCGTGCCTCGCACCATTTGAGCAGCAACCCTTCCCTCCAATTTCCTTCTTTCCCACCACCACACAACACCTTCGTATCGCGCTCGTGAATTTCATCTGTCTGTAAGCTGCCGCCTTCTTGTCTTCCGTCTGCATTGTTTCTTCTCAGGAATCTGGTGTGACGCGACGACTTGTTTCTTCCCTCCTCACGCGTCGCTGGGTGTGATTTCCACTGAGCGCAAGCACTAACAAAAAATAAAGGCCTACAGCGCATCTGTCTCAATCCTGAAAAAAATCACAGCGACACGTCGTTTCCTCACAAATCTTGTGAAAACCGAATATCCGTCAAGATGCCTCAGTACAGAATTGGTAAGATCACTAATTACACGTCTTTCTTCCATCATTTCCTCTCGCGCCCCTTAATCCCATTAATCAGGTGGCTGACATCCCAACAGAGGTGTCGCCCAACAACCGGGCTGTCTGCAAAGACACAGTTTGCAAGAAAGAAGGGGTCAAGATCATGAAGGGCGAGATTCGTGTCGGCACCTGGGTCGAGATCCAGGAGCATGGCAGCTGGTCCTGGAAGCACTGGTGAGAAACATCCTCGGAATATACACACTGAGGATCAGGATCACGGTTTCTAACCTCGTTAAACACTCTCAGGGGCTGCTTGTCTGGATTCCAAGTCGGCGGGTTCCAGGAAGTGTGCACAACTGATGACGGATCCTATGACTTCAGCGCCATTGATGGCTACGATGAGATCAAGTATGCCCCAAGCTTACCATCCCCAATTTGTTTTATGCCAGATTCCCTAACATCCTCTATAGCGACAACCCTGAAGCACAGGCAAAGATAAGGCAAGCCGTGGAACAGGGCCATATTGATCCCAAGGATTTCAACGGGGTATGTCGCTCTTTCACACTGTGATGCGCGCTCAGCATGCTAAATATCTTCCCTTTAGGATCCTGAGAAAAACAAGCCAGGAGAGAAGGGAATCCATCTCACGGCGAAGCAAAAGGAGAAGAAGCTTGCTAAGGAGAAGAAGGACGAAGAGGTAAGTCCCGTGACGTTGGTCATCTCCATCCATCAGCACACCGCTGCTTACACATTATGATAGGACGATGAGGAGGAAAAGCCCAAGGCCGCGAAGCAGAAGCGGGGTCGCAAGAAGGCTGATGACGACGAGGACGAGGAGCCAGCCCCTAAGAAGTCTAAGAAGGCAGAGCCCTCCAAGACTGACAAGGCTGCTGCTGGCAAGGCCGCTCCCAAGAAGTCTCGAGCTTCCAAGGCTGCACCCAAAGCCGAGGATGAAAGTGAGGAAGAGGTTGAAGACGAACCTGTTCCCCAGAAGAAGGGCAGGGCCACGAAGGCCAAGGCTACTCCAAAGAAGTCTCAAAAGGCTGCAGCTAAGGAAGAAGACCCCGAGACTGAGGAAGCCGAGGAGGAGGAGGAAGCCGAGCCTGCTCCTCAGAAGAAGGGCCGGGCAACCAAGGCCAAGGCCGCAGCTAAACCTGCCCCCAAGAAGTCTCAGAAGGCTGCCCCCAAGGAAGCATCCCCCGAGGCTGAGGAGGCTGAGGAGGAGGAAGAAGAAAAGCCAGCACCAAAGGCCAGGGGCAGAGGCAAGCGCGCGTCCGTGGCTGCTGCTGCTGAGCCGGAGCCAACTAAGGGACGTCGCACTCGGCCCCGTAAGCAGTAAGGCCCGAAATACTCGACCCTTCTTTGGCTACGTGCCATTGGTCGTATACATGGCTTTGAGCATATGGGTTCCTTAAATTGAGGTCTCAATTCTTGTTCATGAGTTTTACTCGAAGTTGCCGCAAGCAATGCACCAGGAGAACAACAAACAATGACAGGGACAGTGTGTGGTCAAGACGCGGAGCTAAAAATGATTTAGGGGATGTATAACAATTTGGAGGTCATGGAATGTTCTCGTTGCGAGCGGTTCGATAATATGGTTTGCTCAACTAGGTCAAGCAGTTTGCAATGTGGTGATTTTTACTTAAGTAGCTTGGCGTCTGAAAGCCTATCATCAAAGTACTTGTCATTCCTATCAGCTACCGAGACACAACCGTTGGATCGTGATGAGCCGGAGGCACCACTAGTGAACCATACTGCCGAGAAAGCTCCAGGAACAGCTACGTAAGTGATAATGGAGACGGCCCATCAGGTACGAGTTTGTCAATCCTGGAGCAAGCCCCACGTTGATCGATCACGATGGCATCATGATGTTAAACGAAATTATGACGTCGACGAGTATCAGCCTTTCGAGTCAAAGATTTTGAGCAGCTTAATGGGTATAAAGCCTACAGAGCTCTCTATTCCAAACATACCAAGAACTCATATTTCAATTATCAATTCTTTGGCGCGGTTTATTCCACGAAGCTACTCGTTCACCTCAAGACACTGCCTTCCAACATCAGCAAACCATCCCATTTTTAAGCATCATGCCTCGCCACGGAGACGGCTCTTCTGACAACGGCCCCTTTGAGGGTACCGACCATAACATCGCTCACGGTTCTGGTGTACGTTTTCCTATTATTATTTTTTTTTGGAATTTCTTTTCTTGGAATTTTGCTCCCACCTCGCGTTAAGTCATCAAGCTTACCCAATCTCATTAGAACAAGAACATTGGTGACAAGGTCGCCCGTGCCGACAAGACGGCTCCCCTTCCCGAGGCGGAGCACGGCCAGGGACTGCACGACGCCAATGCCAGTGGCGGACAGAGCCAAGGTCTCGCCAAGGGAGACAATGTCGGCCAGGGTGGTCGAGGATCAAAATAAGCTTGGGAGACTGAATGTAATTACTATATGAGATTTCGATGTAAAAGTCGAAAAATGTACCAACAAATTATCAACAAATTATTATATTGCTATATGTCTGTCCCCAGTAGTCTGTTCAAGTCAAGGGTGAAATGTGCTCAGAAGAGATCAGCGTGCCATTGACATTGCTTTCGGGCCAATGCCGTCATAGAAACCCCGGCCCAATCCGCCTCAGTGTGAGAATTAAATCAGTTATTATGATGTTAGGTTATGAGAAGAAAACAAGTGCATTTAGGAAGAAGATTCTAGTAAAAAAATATATAAAAGGTTCCACAGGCTTTGATCTTGGCTCCAACTTGGTTCGAAACAAAATTTCCTGACTCGTCTCAAACACAAAATTTTCGTAACAAAGGAATTGAAATACTAGTCTAAGTGTCCACAGAAATGAGATTAGCTAAACCCAATATATGACCTCGTTTACTTCTGCCAGCCGTATATGTGTAGACTTGGCTTTGCTGCATCAAAGCAAAGGCACCCAGTAAGATCATTTCCCCAGACAGAAGAGTTAAAGTATTCTTTTTGAAATTTTGACACGATGTTATAGGCAACCCGAGAAGTAGTATTTAAGTAATATGCGTCCGATGTCAAGATTTTAACTCTATCAGCAGAGCAGTCCGAGAGAAGGAGAGCCTACCTAAAAGGACTGATTAAGCGACACATTTGCTTCCTCTCATACCATACTCTCCACCACATTCGTTACACTATATCCACAGAAGCAAACTTAGAAGGCAAGTAGTGATGTTGAAAGCAAATCTCGCGCAGATTTTGGAGCATGCACTAGAAACCTATGGGTAATCAAGCCTGATACAAGCTTTTGCCACTTTCAAGAAGCATACGAGGTACAAACTCCAAGCACATCTCAACATTCTGCATCCAAACAGGGAGATAAAAGTAGTTGGTTGATGTTGAGGCTGGCAAAGAATCGAAATTTGATAGGAGAACTAGAGTAATAGTTCGCATCAATGGTGTCCTCCATATAAGTTACTAACACATATGGTATATACTTCGTATTACGAAGACGAAAAAGAAGGGAAGGGAGCGGTGTCTCGCAAGACATATGAAAAGGGACTGGCAAGGAGTACCCTAGGTTAGTCACTATCAAGTCCTCAACGTCGTGTCATGTGCTTGTCAGTACGGCCATCCTAATGCGAAGAGGCTCCCTTGCGACACAGAATAGATTCAGAAAAACCTCACCTAACCGGTGATATCAAACCTCCAGTCTACAAAGTGTGGTCTAATCATCCAAGCATAACTCTTTACACTCTCCCAGTTTTTTTATTTTTTACTCTTCCCCACCCTCATATCTCACTATCTCATTCTGTGAGCAGATACACAAGTAGGCGAGCGTAAATCGTGCGTGGTAGTAGTGTAGTAGGGCTGTCGTCTATGGCATAGTAGTCTCTGGTATGATGTTGGAGCCGGGCCTAGGCCAAACTCTCAGGCGTCTGGTTTCTGGATTCTGATTCCTGACTGGTACGTAACTGTCGATCAGTTAGTCTTCCAATCTGCGTTTATGCATTCCTGGCTTGCCTCGTAGAGCTTGAAGATGATCATGTCACAAGAGGTGTGGTCGGGTTCCAGTGTATTGACTGACACTGCCAGACTAATATGTAAAATACTGACTGGGACAACATGACCAAAGGCATTACGCCTCGTCTGGAATTTTTTATATTCCATGTATTAATAAAGGGAGCAATTAATGCAGGTATTTTCCTCACTTGTTCTGTTAAGTTGGTCTGATTCCCCGTGTAACTGCTCGGTGTACTATATTGCAATCACAAAATACCCTTTTCACCTATGGTGCTCTAAATTTGATAAATCCTCCGTCTTGCATCTTCAGATTCCTGGCCGCAAGTGGTACACCTTTAGGAACAATATATTACAAGAGATGGAGAGGTGGGGTAAAACAGAACATGATATACCAAAGCTCTGTTCGCATACGGCGGGGACCTCGTTTCCGATAAACAACAACAAGAGAATAATTAGAAAATGTTACATTACTCTACGACATTTAGCTTAATACACTACTAGGTCAATTATTCTAATCTTGTGTTGAATTAATGCTAGACTCTAGATAGGAGGAGAGACAGCAGACAGCAATGAGGGATACAGGGTACTTGCCGTACAAAGGGACTACAGCACTGGAAGCAGCCTATGCGCAAGCTGTCCCGAGACACTCCTCTGTAGAGTAAGGTGGTTCAAGGTGAGCTAGATATTACGCTTAAAAACAGTTTTGACAAATTGTCAAGATAAAGAGAATGATGGTGGGCGGGCAATTGGCTGGAGAGTACGCTAGGGTTGTTAGGGCTGGGGGTATAGATAGTAGAATAAGTGTTCGCCTCCCAAGCAAGTGGTTCTCGGACCACGAGCTAGCTACAGCACCCGGTCTGGTGGTCTAGTGGTATGATTCGCGCTTAGGGTCCACCCTAAAGCATTGATTGCGCGAGGTCCCGGGTTCAATCCCCGGCCAGACCCTTCTTTTTTTCATTTCTCTTTCATTTTTGCTTTCTTCTTGGTGGCCTAATGACAAAGATTTGACTGGGACATCAAGAATTGGTAGTGCGCCTTTTCATTTTTGTTATCGTGTATTTATGATCAATATGCTGCTGTTGGTGGTCAATCTCGAACGGCCGGCCATATTCGTCGTTCCAAGGGCCATCGAGATTTGCACAGACCCTCAATTTGACGAGGAATTGCTTTCTCAACAACAAGCATCGAAATCAATGACTTCATAAATGGTCGGCTTGATGGATATCTCTGGAACATGTGCAGAAAGTTATATGTCGGAATTAAGATCACGTCGAATTGAATCGAGCTCCTGATCCCCCTATCTCTATGTAATGCCAAATCATCTGAACGACACCCCGATAATCATTACCAATAACACATGTACAGTCCCATCCATCCGCTATGCACTCATACTCATGGTATCTCGTACAAACACCCCACGCAAACGCCGTCCTATCCTATGCCAACTACCTAAGCAAGGTGATCCATAAACCCGCTACAGAAATCCCTTCTGACTTGGCGCTCTGCTAACGCTGCTCTTCCTCGCTGGGATGTCGACCTGAGATGCATCGTTACCTTCACTCATTCGCCAGGCACCCATGCGGTTTCGTACACTCCCAACAGCCCCGGTCGATGTCCTCTCGACCCGGAGACCCTTCCACCCCTCAAGCTCTCTCTCAAGCCGCAAAGTCTTCTCCTTCTCCTGTGAAAGTTCGCGCTCCGCACGGCGAGCGGAGAGCTGGTTGGTTGACTCCGAGGACTGGAGCTCATCAATTGTCTTCAGCAGCTTCTCCACCTTGTCACGCATTCGAGATACGTCTTCTGACAGCTGGGTATTTTGCTTGTCTTTCCGCTCGATCTGTGTCTGAAGATCCTTGACGGTACGGTCAACGTTGCGCACTGACCGTTGCGACTTGTTTCTCTCGCTCTCATGCTCCTCCAATTGAGTTTCAAGCTGTGCGTACTTTGTTAGTTCATCTTCTTTCATGTACTGTGTGTCCATCATGTACTTACTTCTTGAATACGTTTGTAGAGGAATTTGATATCTTGACTAGCGCTCGAGTAGCCCTTGGTCTCCAGGTCGACAAGCTTCAGCTGAGCTTCATTGAGGCTCTTCTCTAGCGCTGCCTTCTGGCTTTGCAAAGAAGCCGAAGACTCACGCTCAGCGGCGATTTCCTTTTGGATCTCGGCCACGAGAGACTCGGCTCGACGCATCTTCTCGACTGCAGCAGCGGCAATATCTTCATGCTGAGCGAGGTTGGATTTGAGTTCGAGGATCTCCCTGTCGGTGTTTGCAGCATCTCTCAGAGCTGGGCTGGCACCGTTGGCGAGGTCGTCTAATCCAGCCTTGGCCTCCTCGAGGCGAGCCTCGACGCTGCGCTTCTCTCTCAACAAAGAATCACGCTCTGCTGCGATCTCATCAACGGAGGAGCGTAGAGTACGAACTTGCGACAGGAGCGAGACAACCTTGCCCTGTGCCTCGTTGTGTGCGTTGATAGCTTCGTCCCGAGAGGAGACAACATCTGCGAGCGTCGACTCCAAGCGAGATTTCTCTTTGGACCACGTCGAGCTATTGAGAACCTCGTCGTCCCATTTGGACCGGAGATCATCCAACTCTTCCCGCAGACGAGTGATTTCTGCTTGCTTGTAAAGCTTCTCCTCGCGAGCGAGATCCAGCTCTTTGGTGAGGGTGGTAAATTCAGCCTGATACTTCTTACGAGTTTGCTCCATGCTGGATTCTTTGTCCTCAATATCCATGGCCCGCTGGTTTCGGTAATCCTCTAGCTCGTGTTGTAGTCGCTTCTTGGCTTGGACAACACCGTCCAGGTCCGTAGACATGTCTTCGAGTCTCTCTTCCAGGCGTTGGTTCTGCCGTTGTAGGTCTTCAATCATGGAGTCCATCTTCTGGCGTTCTGACATGACTTCGGCATATGTCTCTTCAGCCTCCTTTGATTGCGACTTGGCGAATTGTTCAGCGCGGCTAGCCTTGAGCACAGAAATTTCCGCTTGCTCAAGCTTGCTAAAGTATTCGTCTGCGCGGCGCTTGTACATCTCGAGATCCGCTGTCACATCTGCAAGCCTGGAGGTTTCGGCATCAAGTCTTATTTGAATATCCGAGTACTCCTGGAGCAGCTGGCTGCGGTTTTGGGCCTCTTGCTCACGAGCCATGCTCATCTCCGCTAGCTCTGACTTTGTGTCTCGGAGCTCGACCTGGAGGCTGGTACGGTCATGGCGCAACTTGTCAAAGTTGGACTTCGTCTCGGTCAGCTCTGCTAAAGTCTCCTTATGACTTTGCAAAAGCGAGCGGCGAGAGTCCTCTTGACTGTTGAAGACGTCCAACAATTCCTCATGAGATCGTGTTTGAATGTCCCTCACAGAAAGTTCACCGCTTTGAATGTTCTTTTCCAAGACTGAAAGCTTCTTGGCCGAATCATCAAGCATGTCATGAAGGCGGTTGTTTGCTTTCTCGAGCTTCTGAATTCTTCTCGCAGAGGAAGGGCCGTCCTCATCGAACCTCTCAGAAACGGGCGTGGCACGATCAAGCTGGCTCTGAAGGTGGCGGTTTTGCATACGGGACAGCTGCAACTGGTTTTGGAGCTCCTCCACCTCGGCCTTCAAATCCTGTCGATTGTTGAAACTGAGAACATCTGCCGTCTTATCGGAGCGGATCGAGTCTTGGGCATCTGGGTCTGGGAGTCGTCGAGTGGGTGTGGACGTATTGGAATAAGGCTTGGGCAAAGGCCTGGTAGACCTTCGCTGAGTCGGCGATCCGTTGAAAGGAGCTTCGTTAAAGTGTATCTCTTCCAGTTTGGGTCGGCTGGGGGTATCTTGACGTGAAGCTCTCCTGTCTGAGAGCTGGGTCTCGGCGTTGATTCTTGCTGCGTTTTCTACTCGGAGTCGTTGTTGCAGCTCTTCGACCTTGCGTACGAGATCAAATTTATCCAATAGATCCTTGTCATTCTTCATCTCTCTTTGGGTTGGAATGTTGACTTCAGGGTCCGCGGTTCTCAAGGCATCTAGCATTTGGGTTCGCAACTCTGCAAGCTCCTTGTCCCTTGATTCAAGGGAAGCCTGGAGAGTCCGGACAGTTGACTGCGCTTGAGTCCGGAGGACGCGCTCCGATTCAGTCGATCGATTGGCCTCTGCGAGTTGTGCAGTGATGTTGGAGTTGTTCTTTTCTGCATTCCTGCTCGTCTTGACTTCGCGGGCGATCTCGTGGTTGAGATCTTCTACGTTTAGTTGCAGCTTCTCATTTCTCTTTTCAAGAGAGGCGATGGAAAGTTGGGCATCCCCAAGTTGCTTGTTTAGCTTGTTACTTTGCTCCTCGAGTCTGGTCTTCTCCCGCTGCAGTGACAAGATCTGACCACGAGACGCCTCGCTGGCGCGCGAACTAGATCGTGCAATCTCGAGACCCTTCTGCTGTAATTTGTTAAGAAGAGCCTTGTTGTCGTTTTCAGATGCTGCCAGTCGACTTTTTACAGCACTGAGCTCTCGTTCCATGCGCTCTTTGGCCTGGTCGTTTTTGAGACCAAATTCGCCGGATGACAATATTAGCTTGTTGAGATCTTCAACCTGATGATTCAGGTTTGCACATTCCTCTTCAAACCACTCCAGGCGTTGGTTCGCGGCCTCGAGATCCCGGCGGAGACTTTCCTCGCGCTCCAAGGCAGCCCTGGAGGCTTTCCGTTCGCCAGCCTCCTCGGCACGGATCCTGGCTTCTTCAGCCTCAGTCTTGGCTTGACGGAGTCGGCGAATCTCCGCGCGCGCCTCATCTCGTTCCTTCTCTGCTGTCGTTCTGGCCTCTTTGGTCCTCCTAAGGGTATCTTGCTGCGCGTAAAGCTCTTTCTCAATGATGATTTTGGAATCATTCAGATGGTCGTATTCCTCTTTCAGAGTATTGTACCTGTGCTCCCCAAGGAGTTGTACATCGTCACGAGACTGCTGCTCCCTGCTGAGCTCAGCTTGAGTCTTGTAAAGTTCATCTTTGAGATCCTTGATCTGAGATTCCAGAAGTTGACGATTCTTGTCGGCTTGTTCATCCTCAGAAAGTCGTGCTTGCAGAAGGCTGTTGGCATCCTCGACCTCTCGTTCTAACTGAGCCTGTTTCGAGACCATAACTTCCAACTCTGCTTGCACCTGGTGAAGTCTTGATGTAGCCTTCTCCTTTTCCACAGCCAAGCTCTTCTTGGATTCTTCCAAACCTCGCCGCTCTGATTCGAATCTCTTGTTTTCACTGCGAAGGAGAGCAAGTTCGCTTTCTTTCTCCCTGACGAGATCTTCGTAGTCGGTTGAAGTCTTGGAAAGTTGAGCGAGCTGTTCTTGAATCGCCTTGTTCTCACGGGTGAGGCGTGTTTCCCGTGATTTGGCCATATCGAGTTCTTTCTGAGCTGCGTGAAGCTTGACCTCGGCGTCTTGGTCAATTTTGAGCAGCTTGCTCTCTAGGTCATGGGCTTTTCGCTCTTTCAAGGACAATTGACTTTTAAGCATCCTAATTTCGCCTTCAAGAGCTGCTTCTTGCTCACTCCTTTGAGACTGTTTCTCAGAAATTTCCTCAATGGACGCCTCGAGACCAGAAATCTTGCGAGTAAGACTCCCCTTCTCTTCCTCAAGTTTTGTAATAAGGGACGCTGCTTGCTCTAGTTGGGTGCGGTACTTTTCCACCTCTCTTTCTGCTCGGTTCTTGGCTTCCATTAGCTCATCAAGTTGATCTTCAAGTCGCTCTTGATCATCAATAGCACCGGCAAGCTTTTCCTCAAGCTCTGCCTCCCGATCCTGGAGACGCTTGAAGATCTCCTCTTTGTCCAAGGCAAGAGCACGCTCACTTTCTAATGTTTGTTGGATACGTGCCATTTCCGTAAAGCAATTTCGTCGCTCTTCCTCGAGTTTATGTCGCTGCTCAGCTTCAACAAGCATCTTCTCATTCAACTCTTTAATCATAGCGTCACGTCTTTTGACCTCGGTCGCAGAGCGAGTTGTACCAAGAAGCGGCTTCATCTTCATGACAAGCTGCCACCATGGATTATCCACAAGATTGTGATAGACGTGTATGTTTCGTTGAATGATTCTCGTGGCCTCCGTTCGGAAAAGACGCTTATTTACTGAGCGTCTGGTTACAAAGCCTCTCGCAACCGATTGGAAACGAGCCATGATTTGCGTGATGAGGGCATCACGTTGCTCTTCCAGCTCTGCCAGCACACCAGCCCTGAAGAAGACCTTGCTCAGGCCGACTCGGTACAGAGACCTGTCGAGGTCCAGCCTTTCCAGCATCATTGATGCCGCAACCTGGCCTTCTAGGTAACCGCTTGGCATATCAGGGCATAGGACTTCATAACGTTGTCGGAACTCGGAGAAGGGAAGTCTGTTGGGGAAGCCAGTTCTGGCGATACGGATGCCTTCCAAAACACCATTGCATCGTAGCTGGTCCAAGACCAGCAAGTTATTGAACTGCTTGGGTCGTTTTTTGTGATTTGGCAGAATACATCGCACGAAGTGTGGGTGTGTCGAATGAAGTTGAGACATCAAGTTGTGAAGCTGTTCCTTGTGTCTCTGGGCGACTGTGCGGAATAACCCTTTCTTTACTCTATTTCTTGTGCCAACAACGTCGTCATCAGTATCGAGGCAGTCAGAAAACAAGCTGGCGACGTGTTTGTCTGAAGAAGTAGCAAGGAGCCGGGTGATATTATCGTTCAATGGGTCCTTGTTTTTCTCAAGCCAGCCTTCGGTCGAGTACTCCACATCGGCTGCGTAATGAGTGAGGACGAATCCCTGGGTGAGCCTCGAAGAGTGGTACTTTGTCGACTTCTTGTCCCATAAAGAATTGAGTTTTTCCGTGAAAGACTTGTCTGTTGCTTTTGGCATGACGGAATCCTCGTCGAGGCAAGAGAAGATACCGATCGGATTTGGCAGCTCGATGAGGTCAATCGTGGGTTGAAGATCACGGCCGAAGTCGATGAACTGCCACTCAATTTGCTCTCGAGCATATTCTTCTTGCTCCAAAACAAACATGTGATGATTGAAGAATTGCTGCAGTTTCTCGTTGGTGTAGTTGATGCAAAGCTGCTCGAAGCTGTTCTGCTCGAAAATTTCGAATCCAGCAATATCAAGCACACCAATGAAGTGAGTATCATCCATGCCCATTGAGTTTTGGTCCAGTTGCTGATTGATACGGCTCACAAGATTTCCGAAACCTCGCTCGTAAATGCCCTTCGAGAGAGCGTCAAGACTAAGACGGACTTGCTCTGGAGTCTGGACCTTCTCGACCCATTCTCTGCCGGCCTTGACCCGAGGATGCAGTAATCCTTTCAGGAACGGCTCAAGCGGAACACCAAGCAACTGACAAACCTTGGCTGCTTGCCTCTCTGAGCCGGCTTCCAGGCGAGCCTGATCGGCAGCGCGACTCTCTTTGACAACGCCGATATTACCCAAATGCAAGACAGCAGCCACTGTACGGAGGATGGATAATTGGTCCTTTTCCTCAAAACCCATGACGCCGAATGCTTCCATGAGAGTATTCCACTCGTCCCTATCCGACACACCAACGATCGTGTCGTGGCCGTCGCGAGTGTAGTTGAAATCCTCAACGCCGAGTCCATCTAACAAGAACTCTCTCCTCATCTGCGAGCCTGCTCCCTTGAGCAGCTGATAGAAGACGTGGTAGTTTCTTTCGTGGGGATTTATCCTCACGACTCGGGATTTCTCCAGTAGATACCAATCGATAAATGCTCCTGTAATCGTACCGTTTCGGCTGAATTCAATGCGGATGAATTTTCCGAATCGCGAAGAGTTGTTGTTCCGTACCGTTTGAGCGTTTCCGAAAGCTTCTAATATAGGATTGGCGCGAAGAATTTGTTGCGACAGGTTTGACTGCTGCGGCCTGCTTCTTGATAATGAATCAGTGTGCGCGACTGCCGCAAGGTATTGGATAACCTTTTTCGTGTTCTCGGTCTTTCCTGCTCCTGATTCTCCCGTGACCAGAATACTTTGATTTTGCCCTTCATCAACCAGCTTCCTAAAGGCCTCGTCGGCCATGGCGAAGATATGGGGCTTTGTATCCTCACGACTTCGACCTCTGTACATGTTGATGTAGTCGTTGGTATATATGGGCAGAGGACAATAGGGGTTCACCGTCACGAGAAACAGACCAGAGTAAGTATAGATCAGGTCTGCTTGGTACCTCATGTGTAGATTGTGTACCACGGAGGCCTCGTTCAGATGAGTCAACTCGGCCATATCGTTTGCTTTGTCGAACTTGGCCGGGTTTACTTTATCGACGGTTTCAGCATCGACATCTCGTTGCTAGGATATTTCGTTAGTACATAGATACAAGCTTGCAGCTAAGGCATCTGTCCTTACCGTTCCATCGTCGCATTGCACCCGGATCCGATTATCTGGGAGATCTTCGACAACCCATCCTTTCACAAAAGCTTGCTGGGGATCCTTAAGCCACACATAGCGCTTTCCTGAAAAGTCATTCTCTCCTTCAATCCCCTTCACAGCATCATGGCTTCTCCTCATGTCTTCTGTCTTGATGAAGGAGGGCGCAAACGTCCCTGACGATGTGGAGCCATTCTTGGAACCTTGGCGGGAATGCCGCCTCTGGAGCCCTACTGACACAGAAACGGCTGTAGTTGTATTTGACTGTGTTCGTGTGTGCGCTAGGGGTGTTGGCGAACTGGGCGAAGGAGAAGAGGGTGTAAAGAGGGCGGATTTCGGTCGATTTGTGTTGGTAGCGGCAGCTTGTGGTGACTGGCCTGGTCGCGTAAAGGGATTACTCCGCCGCGAGAACGAGCCATTGGCGTTGAAAGACATTTTTGTTGTCGACCATCAACGCAACATAGGAGGTGAAAGTCGTTGAGAGCGGCCTGGCTGACTTCGAATGTGTATGTGTATGGGAGATGGATCCACTATAAGCTGGAAATAAACAAATAATTCACGCGTCGATCGAATATTGACGCTGCACCTTAAGAATGAATGGCAGTCTTTTGGTGACGATATATAGCCTGCGCTCTGCTCACGATCGCAGCCACACGGCGGGAGGCATTGGGCAAGCGTCTTCAACGGTCGGAGCGATATCGTCAATGTCAATATAGCGCGGTTGCTGGGGAGGGTCCGCCAACGAAGTAAACAAAGACCAACACGTGACATCATGTAATGCATTAGGTAAGATTCGCGGTGGAGCCCAGTGGCGATCTTGGACTTTACACACATATTTTGTCCCACGTTGAACGTCCACGCGCGCACCGTAAAAAAATACACGCGCTTTGCTGCCTGAGTCGCTTCACGATCTGGTTTGACCTGTCCGCGCGCGACTGCGACAGCCTGTCATTCGTTCTATCGGCGATTTGTTCTGAAATGCTTGTTTTGAATACCTATCCTGGGTCACTCAAAGATGGTTATACGTTGATCGCACTCATCACGGTAGGCGCATCTAGAATCGGACACGATTTAAATCCACCACGGGCGATCGATTCGCGAAGATGAACCCATACGGCTATGCGTATGGCCAGAGCGAGCCCTACTTCCCGCAACAATATGATACGCAGCCTCGTCATGCATATTCGTTTCCTGGAAGTTCAGGCCCCGATAACGTCGGCATTGGACCGCAGCATACCCAGAAAGATTATACACAAAGTGGTTTTAATGGTGGCCACAGTCTCATACCAGGTCTTGGGATGAGTTTACCAAATGGCGCCTCTGAAGTACATGGTGGACCTCTGACCAGCTCTTATGTCCAGCCCACGGGGCCAGGCCCGATGACTGCGAGTGTGCATCTCTCTAATAAACAGGACGCCTCTCTTGATACTTGGGAAGCAAGGCAATCTGCAGCTCAGAATGAGCTAACAATGGAGGCAATGGAGGAGGGTGAGGTAAGCGAAGGGGAGCTTGAAGATATATACGACCCGGAGGCGCTCGATGAGAGTACACATGAAGCCCCAAAGTCTTCCAACCCAACACCCCATACCGTAGAGACGAGACAGCAAGGTTTACTTGAGGACGGTGAAGGTGTGCTCTCCAGCCGTTCACGCCCTGACACACAAGCGTTGGTGACTGAGTTTGATACAGCATTAGAGCGCTCTGGCTCATACTCTCCTTACTTGTCCCCACGAGAGATCACTTCCACACGACCAGCTAGTCCCCAGGGTCAGCAGTGTAAGTGTAACTACGTGGTGGGTGACATATCAACTACTAAGTATTGCTTTGCAGCAAACGAAGCCGATCTCAAAACTCCCACCGCATCATTCTCCTCCGACTCAGAAGCTGCCCCCAACCTGGCCGAAACTTCCTGGGAAGAGGCGCGAAAACACGCTCAGGACACAATCTTGCGTCTTTGGCCGCTTAAAATCCGATATCAAGATTATCTCAACGAAGGGCTGGACGAAGCAACGCTGCGCAGCTTATTCACCGAACTTGGCCTTGATATGACACTATCGCCGGAAAAAGAGTCAAATGCTGCGAATGTTCAAGCCATGGATACCGATCTTCCCACGGCCACTGCCCTTGAAGATTCAAGCCCAGCGCAACCTCCGAATCGTGAGACATCAAAAGCTCCAATGGCTAACCCTCCCAAGGAACTCAAACGGAGCCGTGGCGAAGAGCGCAAGGACAGGATCGCACGGCTTCTGGCCGCAAAACAGGCCAGTGGCCCCCAGCCTGTCGAAAAGCCCAGTGCCACGCCCACTGCAAAACCGGCTGAGAAGCCTTCTTCATCTGTAACGCCGGCTAAAACGCCGGCTCAAATAGCTGAGAAGTCTAAACTGGTGCAGCAAAAGATGGAAGCCTTACGAAAGGCTCGGGAGGCACAAGCCCAAGCCCAAGCTGCTAGCCGCCAGCAGGTTGCGGAGGCCACTCAGCCGAACCTCACACAGAACTCATCTGCCACGCAGCCACCTCCGGCAGAAATCGTCGCGTCAAACCATCACCAATTACAGGACGGCAACACTAATACGCCCTCTTCGATACCCGGCCTCTTCCTTCCTGCCGGTCAAACCGCTACCTCCAGCTCGCAGCAAAAACGTCCAATGGCATCAGAACTAAATGATCTTTCTGACCCCACGTCCAAACGACCGTTTGGTCAACCCCGGCAATCGCAGCGATTCCTGATAGATGTTAGCGACGACGAGGATGATGCTGCTATGGAAATCGACTCACCCGAACTCGAGGCATCATCCGTTCATCGCTCCAACTCACCTTTCAAGGTTCCCTCATTTCCAATGCTTCCAAGCAGTTCCACACCTCTGGAGAATTTAAGTCCAGTCTTGACACAAACTCCACCCAGAAATACACGATCGGCTATGGGCGGCGGTAACCTGGAGTCGATGAACAAGGAAATTGAGCTCATGAAGCGACGAATTGCCGAAGCTGAAGCACGGCGGCGGGCAAAACTTTCAAGGACCGGATCGGCGCATGGTCAGAACGGCCATGATGACATGAATACTGAATCTAGTGAGCCTGCGTCTAAGTCAGGCCCCGTCTCGTCTGTAGATGGAAGTGACCTCGCAAGGGAAGAGTCTCCCCCAGCTGGACCGTTGGACTTTGTTTCCCAGAGGTTGCCGAAAGTCTCGGATTCAAATCAAACTGAACGGCGCATCGCCCTCCGCCAGCGATCTCGTGTGGCTAGCGAGCGGTTGCCTCTTGTTGAAGCTCATCGCCAGGAACAGCTTAGAAAGCTCGAGGCTCTACGTTCCCAGATGGAAGATATCCAGAAAGATATTGAGGCAAGCTTAAAAGAGGAAAAACAACTGCGCGATGAGGTGACATTCTGCAACACAGAGGTCCAAAATGATGACAACAAAGACACCCTGATTCCTGTGTCAGCAGGTTGGTGATATCCTCACCTAAATTGGTGTATTACTGATATTCGGTGGCTAGTTCTAATTTGCTTACAGTGAAAGAACCGGTTGTCGTTAAGGCGTTGAATACACCTCCCCGTGATTCAGCATCAGGCACTCAGCATGAAAGCCAAGCAGTGGTTGTGGAAACGGAAGAGCACATCCCTGCAGACGCTATGCAAGGTGGCACTCCTGACGATTTTGTTGATCACGCATCACTTGATGATGAGAACAATACTGAAATGCCTGACGTTGAGAGTCAAGAAGATACGGACGATAACTCTGATGATCGAATGGACGAAGAGACCACTTCTAGCGAAGCTGAGTACCAGCCTGAGGTACAAAGTCAAGGATTGGAGGCAGATACCTCAACAGAGCAGGAAGCTCAGATCAATGGACAAACCCACAGTCCAGATGCTCGTGAACCAGAGGAGTTGGAACTGCAAACCTTGATGCAAGAGTCTGATAAATCACCTTCTTTCAGCCCTGAGCCTGCCGAAAACTCCTCCCATGAGACGAGTGATAACGAACAACAGGCCGTTTTGCCTGCCCCTCTCACAAAGTCGATCTCGACAGGGCAGGTAGAATCAACTACGGCATCTCCAAGAGAAGTAGACATACCATTATAATGAAAAGCGGTTCGTATCTAACACTTACAAATAGGAAAATCATCAAGAAAAACTTGATTCAAGACCCGGTTCTAGCTTTGTCCCCTACGATTCATCGCTGAGACCTTTCCGTGCGTATCGGTTTCATCCTCAATTCAACAACTCAGTCCCAGGCGGTTTCCGTTCCTTGACGTATAGCAATAATATTGATGCCAATTTGGAAGTATGCCCAGACCAGCTGGCTGGCCAAGCTTGTTCCAGAGGCGACATGTGTCCATATCAACACTTTGAAGCTATGCAGCTTGCTGGTAAGTCTTCGCAGGCTGTTAGGAAGAACCCACCAAATGAACCCCACGGAAATTCCCCCATGTTAGGTGAATACTGACCTGGCACATTCTTACAGATGATCAAATTCTCCTACAGCTGGGATCTCACAGTAGTTATGAAGGGGAGCAAAAGGCCCAGTTCATTAATGGACTTCGTCGGCTGCTCACTGACTACCGCGAACGCAAGATTAAGGATTTCCAGACGATCAGCAACGGCATTGTCGACTACAGAGCCAACTTTTCTGGCGATAAGAGCAAGATCCTCCCCCTAGGAAATGTCAGCCTCTAACCGAACCGACCCATCGTTGTTACCCCCTTCCTATTACTGTGCGTTTCCGTAAGCATCCACTCACCCTACCTCGTAAGACCTGAGATGGCTATACCCATTGTACTTTTGGGCGTTCTCGGAGCTTCAATGGAGTTCGTTGTTCCCTTTTATTACCCCCCCGGTTTCGTAACGGTTGCATCTTCCATGAAGCTTGCTATTTTTCATGAAGTGGCCTTTGATATGCCGCTATACCGATACCCACCTTATTTACATTTTCCTTTTCTGTCCCATTCAGATCCAGAATAGACGAATGTTACGCATGTGCCAATGGCGAAGAGCCCTCTCCCACTGGCTGGCTGATCGACGAGAAAAAAGGAGGCGATTGTTCGCCTATCTTGTACGATGAAGGCCGAGAATATAACCTACCTTTCGGTGGAACAACTGGAGAAGATTGGCCTTTCGCAATGACAGTAACAGATTGCCATGGTTCTGTTGGATTCCGAAAGCTCGCTGGTAGACTAGGCTATTCAAACATAATGATACTCATGTCATCGGCGTACATGGCTGTGACAGGCGATATTTGCAAATCCTCATGTCTCCCCGCTTTCATGTGATAAAACTATCAGGAACGAAGTCTGCAGTATGCATGTACTACCTGAACAAATAATCAGTTGTGCATTTTATCGCATCCTATTCTATGCGTGCCGATAGTGCTCATGAGCGTTGAATGCATCATAATATACCTGTGAGGTATTCTGAGAAATTCCAAAAATATATCACTGGGCGGTAATGCTTTAGGGATAAAAATGCTAATCCAATTTCTTTGTCGGTCTACACAAGTAAATACATCTATTATAAGCACCACCTTGTGTCAAGCAATACTTCTACTTCCGCTTCTTTACTGATACTTTGGAATCGTCGCCTGAGGATATTGGCGTGCCCGCGCTCCCAGAAACTGTGCGAGTCACAACACCGTCAGCGGTCTTACTTGCGCCGAGGCTAATGCCCTTGCCACCGCGCATACCATCTACACTGATAGCACTCCCGTCACTGCCTCTCCGTGCTCCCGAAAACTTGACCTTTGAGACTCGTGGCGAAGATGGAGAGGTTGCGACAGAATCGTCCTGCCACTGTATTTCATGCCGGGCAGTTTTCGTGACCGATTCAGGGGTCTGCTGGGATGTGATGAAGGATGTCTGGATTGGTGTAACCAGTGAGGCGGGATCCTCGGAGGGCTCGTTTTCTCGCGCGCGGTGCGTGTAGCTCGATGGAGAATTTGCGTCCTCGGATGCAACCGCGATTGTCGACGACTCACTTTCACTTTCCCTCAGACCGCCATCATGCAGGTGTGCAGAGCCAATCAGACTCTCTTGTCTTGCAAAGAAATACCTATCATATTCCTCCTTTGTATGTTCTGCGTTGGTGAAGCTCTCGAGAGCATCAAACACATGCTGGAAAACCTGCGTGTTGACATCTCTCGCCCATAGGAAATCTAGATGCTCGTAGTGAGGGATCTCAGTCGCAACTGTCTGTGGGGGCAATTCTTTTAGCATGGCTTTGATGTCGACCAGCGAGTCGCTCCCCCCATAGACCAGGACAACTGGCGTTCTGATGTTTCGAGTAGGGTATTTCGCAACTTTAGAGTACTTGCTGGAAGTGCTGAGGCTCATAGGCTGGTGCACATCGTCATCATACATTTGGAAAGATCTATGCCGAATGATCTGAAACCAGTGGACCACACTCTTCGTGCTGGTAAAAGAATACAAGTGTGGATATGCCGCCAACTTTTGACTTGCGGATATATTCTTCGTTTGCCAGTTGAAAAGAAAAGATAAGCCCATGTCGATAACTCGACTGAACAACGGCGGGTATAAGAGACTCTCCCACATGGTTGCAGAGCTGAGAATAGATCTTCTGCCAAAGAGAAGAAACAGGACTTGAGGAGAGGCCTTGACGAGGGAGTCCACAACTCCATTAGAGAGGCCCGCCGGGGCCATGGCCGGCGCCAGAGCGATGAAGACATTTACTTGACGATTGAGCTTTGGATGAATAGCGAGAGTTGCAAATGCCTGTGCCGTGCCCTGAGAGAAGCCGATGTATGAAAGACTTTTTTGCTGTGTTGTATCCAGGATGTATGATATACTATCCGGGATATCATGGAAGGCAAACTCGTCAATGGAAAAATCCCAGAAGTTCAACGAGGTGGGAGAACAGTGGATGGACTTTTTGGAGTATTTGTTGCCTCGGTTATTTCCAAACTATGGGCGTGTTAGCGGATCTGAGTCCCGAGACATCTCAAATAAGCATCCCACTTACCCAGACATCGAATCCCCGTTCCACCAACTCAAAAGGCAAGCATCTCTGCTCGTCTGTGAGACAAACCCAGACTTCGGAGTTCATCAAAAGACCATGATGTAAATATGCCACTCGCTTCCTGATACTTGATGGTCCGTTGTTGACTTTTCTACCCTCCTCGCCTCGTCTCCATTGTAGGCGGTGGAGCCCCAGGAGAAAGCCATCTTTTGTCTGCACAATATGCTCCTCGGCCTCATATCCCCATAATCGGCAAAGTTCGACGAAGTCGGCAGCATCTCTCACAGATGTCGATATGGCTAGAAATGCGATTAGGGCGGGCTCGTAATAGACACTCTCTCGGAATGACCTTACTCTTCTTCTTATCCTCAGCTCTCTGCTGCGCTGGACTCGAGAATCGATTGAATATACGTCGCGACGCTCGGTAGAAGAGTTGTACAAGGAACGGTGCTGAGGGATACAAGTCAGTAGATTGTCGTTATAGGCTATATTACGCCTAAGCTTTGGGCGGTTGTTTGCTCACGTAGGGCTAATGTCAATATGCGGATTATGGCCTCGAGTCCAACAAGTAAGAAAGACCCCACCAGAGCGAAGTACTCGGTGCTGTGCCACCGGATGTCAGTTCGTTTATGCGTGGCGGTTTCAATGGCTTGGTTTGGGCATTGTTGGTCAAACAGGGGGAACTTACGGGTGCAGCCGGCCAAGAAACGGGACAGGCATTGCAACGATATAGGTTTATACAGATTAATGAGAAAGGGCCTTTGTGAACAGAATATGCGCCATAGTTTATAATCTGAGGAGGTGCAACAGCTAGGTTGAGTGGCAAAGCAAGAAATCCTTCATGATGGATGCAGTTGAAGATTATGTAGGATTGTGATGTCACATGTAAATACTGCGTGAGAGCTTTGGGACGAACTGGTACGTGCCTGACGGTTTGAGTCTAGGCCACTGCAGGGTACTAGTACTTCTTGGGCTTGGTGTGTCATAGATTCAAAGCCAGAAAGTATAATATATTAGCTGTGGCTGGTGTTGTGGCTGAACTGCAACTAGGCTAAGCCTTAGCCACATCTTCCCCATTTCCACTTGTGTCCAGCCCCAACCAATCAGCTTGGCTTGGAAATGCATGAGTGATCTGCCCATTTTCTGGATATCTTGAATCCAGGCTTGCCGAAAGTACAAGACCAGCCACAGAATCACCATGCCTAGCTCATGTAAAGAACTACGTAAGTTGGAATATTTCACTCCAATTGCAACCTCTTTCGCCTAACAAATTGATACAGGTGCTGCCCTCGCAGCTTGCCTGCAGGAGTCTGACTGCATCATGGTCCAGCGCAACTCGGCTCACGACTGTCTCCGCGAACCTCTCGTCGAAACACTCCCACTACAGTGTAAACAACTTAAGAAAGGCCTCGGGGAGTGCAAGCGTGGGATGGTCGATATGCGAAAGCGATTCCGTGGCAACATGCCAGTTGCATATAAATCACTCGAAACTGCCGAGAGCGGGAAAGGATACCAGTTGTACGCGGGCAAGCCAGCTTTTGCCGGCAGTGTGAAGGAGACAAGTGGAAACGAACCGATACCCAGGGACTGGAGAGAAATCGAGAACGAGCAATATCGATTGCAGCAACAGCAGCAACAGCAACAGCAACAAGAGAAGTCGAAATAACGAACCTGGGCTACGCCAATCGCTGGTGCTGTGAAGTCTTCATATCAACCACCTTCACGAACGGGGCAAAGGATGCCAAATTCGCACGGAATAATACTTTGAGGACGTCTGACCCAAAATGAGAGTCATGTGCCCTTGCAATGGTAGACACCCTCTTGCGATGCCACTGGTCCGGAATGGATGTGCCGGCCCTGTCCTACTCCCGCTTCTCTCGACCATGTAACTTCTCACGCAACTGTAATGATAGAAATCACTCTGAGCATTGACTGCTTCTACTGTATCAATAGTCCAGGCATTGGGTTAGTTTATAATGAATCAATTGTAGAATGGCTGTCGTAAACGACTGATATGGGATGGGAAACTCAGCCATTGGACCTACGTCTTGGATCTGGTGGCGCAGGAGTGCACCAATGCCTCGATCCAGCCCGACTCAATCATTCGCGGCCGCATACCAGGGCCCCTACCTATCTATGGTCGGTCGGTTTGGCAGAGCTAGGCTCTCACCAACGATACTACTTTACTCCCCATCTGGCTGAGCTGCAGGATTGCTGCAAGGAAAGGCGGTGCCCCTAATTTGGTGTTCTGGAAATTGCAACAGGACGTGTTGCAAAGTTATCGACGTATCATGAGCGGCAATTGCTTCATGTCATGCCATCTGCAATATCTGCCGTCCACCAACAGGCCATAAACCTAACCTATGTTCAATTGTTGATAGCTGCTGCCGCCCGGGTGATCCAGAGAGCCTCAGAAGTCACATCTGGGGTCTGGTTGGCTAGTACCCAATAAGTCCCTGCTTGAGCTTGCCCGCGATTTCAGCAAGCGTTGGGTCTTCGGTGACGACGCGCGGCTCGTCCAAGTACGTATGCATTACTGTCTGCTGCGCCATCTGCATGGGGCCTCTAGTGCTCCATCTCGGGATGGTAGATGGCTAGATTTTCGGTTGTGTTTGCAATTCTGCTGGTCTTCCCGAAGTATATTAACCTCAGCACATTCCTTGCCAAGACCACAACGTTCTTTTTTATCTGATCTGCCTCCCCACCGCAACTGGCCACCCGCCGACGCACAAGCGCAAGGGGCCGTTGCCTCCAAGTTGCTTCCCCCGTGACCGATTTCCGAAACTGGATCTTGGCACATTCTGCCCCAGCGCATTCGTCATCCTTTTGTTATCCCCGGTCCGTAAACCATATGTTACACAGTATTATTCTTATATCTTCCCATTGAGACGGTGTCACTGGGGACTTGTGTCGTTCTGTTCTTTTTCTTCCTTGTATCACTCTGGCTGGCCGCATCGCACTTCCATCTCCAGCCTCGCCTTCATCACTAGCCCATCTCTCCTTCCCATTCCCCCACCAACTACATGCCTGGGAACTGACGACATCGACACTACGCCGACGCCACCACCTCTCCTTCCCCGGCGGCAAGGCAATTGAACCCACCTCCGCTCCTTCCCTCGCCGCCGCCCTCGCGCCGCCGTCATGGTCCCTCTCAAGATCACACCGGCCTACCACCGGGCGCTCGTCCTCGCCGCATCCATCTTCTTCCTCTCAAGCATCTACCTCTGCAGCACCCGCCTGCTGAACTTTAAGGCCATGACCCCGGAACACGTCACGACCCCAACCACCCCCGCCAAACCAACCTACACGAAACCCGTTTCCCTCAACGACGCCGATCTCCCAATGTCTTACGGCGGCTATATGCGGCCGCCCCTCACCGACCTGACCCTCATCGGGGCCATTCCCCCCGAATTCGTCCCGACCCCCAAGAACAAGCGTCGCCTCGTCGTCGTCGGCGACATCCACGGCATGGACTCGGCCCTCGACGCCCTCCTCAAGGAGGCCAACTTCAACGAGGAGACGGATCACCTCGTCTCCGTCGGCGACATGGTCAGCAAGGGGCCCGACTCCCCCGCCGTCGTCGCCCGCCTTATGCAGCTCAACGCCAGCGCCGTCCGCGGCAACCACGAGGACCGCCTCCTCCTCGCCCGCTCCACCATGGACGCCATGCACGGCGTCACCGCCGACCAGGAGAACCCCAACATGCAGCACCGCAAGGGCAAGTCCGAGGAAGTCGCACTGGCCCGCACCCTCGACAAGGAGCAGCTCGACTGGCTCGCCGCCCTCCCCGTCATCCTCACTGCCGAGCCCTTACCCCTCCTCATCGTCCACGCCGGTCTCGTCCCGGGCATCGAGCTGGGGAACCAGGACCCATGGGCCGTCATGAACATGCGCACCCTCGCCTACCCGAGGGAGGAGCTCAGGAAGAAGGCCATGGAGTCCCCACGGCGCCGCGACACCTCCGACGTCGACGGTCTGGGCGACATGGTCTCGGGCGAGGACAAGCTACAGAGTGAATACGAGGCCGTGCGTGAGAACGCCGACCCGTCACAGGCGACCTTTGACAGGGCCGTCGTCGTCCCTCTGGAATCCAGAACCGGTGAGAAGTGGACAGTTGGTTGGGACCGACACCAGGAGGGGCTCAAGGAGGACCAGCGACGCACAATCATTTACGGCCACGACGCCAGGGAGGGCTTCAAGGAGGGAAAGTATACCCTGGGCCTCGACTCTGGCTGTGTCAAGGGCAATTCTCTCACGGCTGCCATAATTGAGGCTACCTCGAACACTGCGTTCAAATACACAACTGTCCAGGTCGGATGCACCCCGCCATAGGGTCAATGGCTGGCCTCTTTCACTTTCTCTATAAATACAAGTCACCTGTACCTATTATACATAACTTGCATGCATATATGTTATATATCCGGCGTTGGAAGGTCGGCGTTTGGGCTGGATTGCGGAATCCTACTACTAGCATCGCTTAAAAATACTAGCAATGATTCTAAGCTTTTCTTTTCTCTATCTTGCTCTTCATTTCATCCTTGATTGATAGGTAATGTTGGCATGTAAGATGGCCGGCATCGTATAGCCAGAAAAGGCATTGGATCTATTGACATCTCAAATCCCTAAATAACCTTTACAGCCAAACAAACGAAACAAATGAAAAAAATCGGACGGATCCTGACAAATTCTTGTGTCAATAGTTCCTCCAAAGGCCGCAGTTTGCGCCAATTACTTCATGTCTTTTTTTTTATTCTGCTCCCATTTCTTCTTTTTGGGTTTCGAACTCATCAATTCTTGGTCATCATGATTTTTCACTTATTAATGAGACGCTTAGGCAAGCTTCTCCTTGAGGATGTTCTTGAGGGTCACAGCATCGGCGGCGAACTTGCTGATACCTTCGCGAAGCTTCTCGACGGCCATCTGGTCCTCGTTGAAGTCGAAGCGGAAGTTGGCCTCGTTGTTGATGTAGGTCTTCTTCTCGAGGTTGAGGGAAGAGGCGGTGCTTGCATCCAACTTCTTGGGGACAGCCTCGCTGGAGTTGAGAAGGTCCTCGAGCAAGTTGGGCTACAGTGATGCGTTAGTTTTGCTCATGATCTTGGTTCGTATTCTCTTGAAAGGGGGAGCTTACGGAGATGGTCAGGTAGTCGCAGCCAGCGAGCTCGGTGATCTCACCAGTGTTGCGGAAAGAGGCACCCATGACGATGGTGTTGTATCCGAACTTCTTGTAGTAGTTGAAGATGGCCTTGACGGAGGCGACACCGGGGTCCTCCTCCTTGGCGTACTCCTTCTTGTTGTGGGCCTTGAACCAATCAAGGATACGGCCGACGAAGGGAGAGATCAGGTAGGCACCGGCCTCGGCGGCACCGATGGCCTGGACCAGAGAGAACATGAGGGTGAGGTTGGTGTTGATTCCGTGGTCGCGCTGGAGGATCTCGGCGGCCTTGATACCTTCCCAGGTAGAGGCGATCTTGATCAGGACACGGTCCTTGGAGATGCCCTCCTGCTTGTACAGCTGTTCATAGCTAGTTAGTTACTGCGTGAAGCGAACAGACAACCCCAAGACCAAGACACTTACGTCAATGATGTGCAGAGCCTTGTCAACGGAGGCCTTGGTGTCGAAAGAGAAGGCGGCGTCGACCTCAGTGGAGACCTTGCCGGGGATGATCTCAAGGATCTTCTTGCCGAACTCAACCAGGAGGCGGTCGAGGGCGTGGTCAACCTGGCTGTTGATGTCGCCACCCTGCTTCCTGCCGTACTCAATGGCGCCATCAATGAGGGCGGCGTACTCGGGCTTCTTGGAGGCAGCGAGAATCAGGGAGGGGTTGGTGGTGGCATCCTGAGGCTTGTACTTGCCAATGGCTATACATTTCGGTCAGTTTCTTACTTCTTCGAACTCGAAAAGCGTGCGGGAGTTCGGGATCGAACATGTGGCTTGTAGCCTTTCGATTTCCGGCATCGGAGAGTACGGGGATGGCTGGGGAAAGGGGTATACTGACTGGCAAAGTCACCTATTGAGCGATTCTGTTAGCAGGTAGTTCTAAGCTGTTGGACGTGGCATGAGGTAATTACCAGAGTCAGAGACGACAACCTATTGGAAGAAAAAGAAACAAACGTTAGCAATTTGATCTTTCTACCCAGGTGAACAGTACCAATGCGCTGCGGAAAGCATCAATTGGGCCTGGTCGGCCATGTCGACACCTCTGAGCCCAACAAAAGCAGCCCCTCCAAGCTCTTTCAATGAGGGGCAGTCGCTGGGAAGCATGGAAGCTTATGGTGGGGTGTGAGAGCTTGCTACTTACGGTGCCGGTGGCCTTGAGCTGTTCGAGAGCAGAGGACATGATTGCGATTAAGTGTAGATTGGTAAATCAGAAAGTATGATCTGGTATGGACAGACAGGAGATGGAGAGAAAAGGAAGAAGAAAAAGTGGCAGAAATGACGATCGAAGGTGGTTTTGAGCTCGGCCGATGGTTCCAGGTAGGGGGGCCCAATTCCCACTGCCTTCCACAGCGACCCGCTCCCCGGCGCATGCGTACAATGGAGGTACACGGTACGTTAGCAGGAGAAAGCCCCCCACCACACCGATGCGGGGCGCTGGTTAGGTCATACCTGACAACACCAACAGGCGTCTTGTCCCGCTGAGGGTGACCCTCAGAGGGTGACGACCGTCCACCCGCCAATCTCTGGGCCTCCCCACCGCCTGGTGCAACGCCCATTGCCTGGGTTAGTAATTGCAGCCGCATAGTTCCGATTCTGACGATTTGTCTGTTTTGACAAGTTTCTGACTGAAGCTTAGCTAACTCGGGGGCCGGCCGGGGCTAGAGGCTGCTGTGCTTAGTTGAGCTCCCAGCTCCTACATACCTAGCTCTAGAAGCCGGCCGGTGAGCATTTCCGTCCTCCCGGAGCGCTTCTATGCTCTGGCCAGATAGGTACGCAAAGATGCAAGTAGAATAACTGTACCTGTTCTTGAGGAATCACATGTCCACGGCCTGGGTGGCGATTGCTGGGACGTTGACGACTGTATGTGCACACATAGACGTAAGTCTGAATCGCGGCCACCAATCCCGTTCGTCGACCTCTTGCTGCCCTTCCAACCTGCTGCCACCTCGACTCCAGAAGCTTGCAAGGTGGGATCTTGATGCCAGATCAGGTACCCTCTACGTGAGATCCCCCCCTGAAGATACAAAACCCATACGGATAAAGGCATAGAGATGGAATTGGCAATTTAACGTTTAGAACGCCCCGGGACATGCACGTACAAGCCTACCAATGGCAGGCGGCATCGATGGGTTGTGCTCAGGGTGACAGGCAGCCAAGTCTCAGCGCGCCGATGAGACGGCTGTGGCATCGTGACAGGAAAAAAAAGCTTGGAGCCGGCCTAGGGATGGAACAAAAAAACTGGGGTTGCCGATTTGTCGGGGAAGATGAGCGAACCTCGATGAAAGCAAGACCGCAACGGGACTTGACTCGGAGCCCACGAATGGGAGCCTCTGGTCGGGCCACAGTCACCCTCCCCGCTACTTCAGACGTTCGCCATGTCGACATCCGCCATAGTAATTCCGAAAATCGCACTGTTCGGGATTGTATTTTGCGTTATCCGTCACTTTACTAATGAAGATTTCCGTATGTCTTTCAAATCCTATTATTGAGTACATACGTACATTGCACATCTAATTTTCCTCAACTTTTTTCAGCTCACATGATTTAATCCTCAGTGATATCTCCGTATTCCCACATGCCCAGGCGATCCTGCTTCGCCAGGCTTTCGACCTCGTTCAAGTGCTTCAAGTACGACTCAAAGGCCTTGCTACGTTCCCACGCCTTGAGCTTCTTGGGGACCATGCCGTAGCCATTAGCCACAATCTCCTTGTTTAGAGAATCATTTAGACCCGGCAACTCATTATTGGTCTTGGGGTCGTAGAGGGTGATGTAGTTGAGATTCTCCTTGGTGTCCACAAAGTCAAAGCTTCCGACAAGGCGCTTACCCTCGGTCACTTCAGCAATGAAGCCAACGGCGTCCTGGAAGTAGTCGGCGCCGGTAGGCAGCTGCACAAAGGAGAGGGATGCGTCTACGGCCTGGGCCTTGAGCTTCTGCACGCTGAACTGAGGCTGGTCTAGAGGGCGAAGGTTTGCCCAGGGGATCATCTCGCTGTTACCGTAATCGATGTACAGAACTTCAGCCTTCTTTGCGGTCCGGTCGTTGGCCCGTACACGGGCACGATACCACTCCCCATCAGCAGAAAACTTGGCCGAGACATACTCGCCAGTCTTGGGGGCGTCCTTCAAAGGTTGCTTGTTCTTAGGGTCGAGGTTGAATTTTCTGAATTCGCTCATCAGAGTCTCAAGCGCGGCTGTGCCTTTACCGATCTCCTGGATCTTGAGCTTCCCGTTGCCGTCAACGTTGGTGACAATAACATCGCGGTAATCGGTAGGCTTCTTCTCCAGGCTTACGGAGCTATCGGCGGCTGTCTCCTCCTCGACGGCCTCAGGCTCCTCCTCCTCATCTTGAGAGGGATCCCAGCTGTGCCACAAACCGCTACGCGCCTCCTTTGCCTTCTTCTCAGCTGAAAACAGTTCGGCCGAGTTTCCAGACTTTTCGGCCGAGTAAGCATGTACAGATGCAAGACCCTCCTCAACGAGAACCTTGGCAAAGTTCTCGCGGTTGATGTACAAAGAGCCGATGAAGCCACCAACCTTATCCATGTCGTGGATATCAACCTCGACATCTCTCTGGTTGCAGCGGCGGTTGGCAAGCTCAAGAGCCTCCTTACCAAACGGCTCGCCACCCTCACCATCAGCCCGTGGGGCTCGTGGGGCACGGATGCCACCGAGGACAAGAGTGAGCTTTGCATTCTCGCGGGGAATGAGTAGAGTAAATCGGGATCCGGCCTTGCAAAAGTCTACAATAGCAGGCACTTTCTTTTGGCGCTGTAGCGTTGCAAGCATGATCTTGGCTTTTTGTGTGTTCTCTGATAGGTCCAGGTATTGCTTAGCCCTCTGAGGCTTGCCGGACCACATACCCTTGCCTTCCTCCTTGGCCTTCTCCTGAGCAGCTAGCAGCTCATCGTAGTTAGGGGCACGGTCAGTGTCATCCTTTCGGTGACGGATGACGGATGCCCAACCAGCCTCGACAAGGGCAAGACCAATGTTGGTGCCCTTCTCGGTGACGGTGGCAACCTCCTTGGCCTCGAAGCCTTCGCTCGCGGGCTTGGTTCCGTCGATGCTGATCTTGACGTGCTTTCCAATGACCTTCTTTCTTAAGAATTCCTTGGATTCCTCTCTGAAGGGGGCTTCCGAAGCCTCGTTGGTACGGGGGGCACGAATACTGCTGAAGCTAATGCGCTTCTCGTTGGTGCCCGCCTTATTTCTGACCAAGATAGTGTCTCCTCCAATAATCTTGTACACAATCATGTCCTGGTTGCCGGTCTCAGCTTTGGCAACGTGGTGCCTGTGGAGACGAAGCTTCTTAGTTTGAGCCTGCTTCTCAGCGGCTCTCAATGCCGCCATCTTTTCGCCAAGCATTGTGGAGTGGAAGTCATTGCATCTAGCAAGGCCTTCCTGGAGAAGGAACTCAGCAATGTTTCCACGGGGGTGGATGATGCTCGCCACGAGCTGACCCTGGGGGCTCGCCCCAACAATTTCGACCTTGATCTTACGCTGGAGCAATCTTGACTCGACAAACGCCTTGGCTTCATTTCCGTATTCTTCAGCAGGTTGGGTGGCGCCAGTGGATGGCAGAACCCTCTCGGTTGCAGGTGTGCGGATACCAGCCAAGAGAGTGAGAGGCTGTACGTGCTTCTTATCGGAGAGCAAGAGACGGACGAGAAGTCTGTCTCCACTGAGAACGCGCTCAACAACACCATCAACCGTCTTGCCCTTCCACTGGGTCAGGAACTCGGGGCCTCCAAGATCATTCTGGACCTCGATGATACCGCCAGCGCCGGACCAAACACCTTTTCCTTCGCTCTTGGCCTGGGACTCGAGACCGCGGAGCTTCTCGAGCTTATCAAGAACCTCCTCGTCCTCTTCCTTCCGCCCAGCATCCTCCCGGACCTTGAGCCAGCCCGCCTTCACCTGCTCGTCGGGGAACTCGGTGCCATCTTGGAGCTTTGCAGTTCCAAATTCTCGGCCAGAATTGGGGATCGTGTACGCGACCGTGCATTGGACAGGTTTACCAACAACGAGGTTTCGGAGATGTTCTCGGGACTGGAAAGCGAAGGGCTCATCGCCCTCACGCTTTAGGTGGGGAGCATTGACATAGGCAAGGGCAAAGGTTCGCTCGGCAGACGGGTTGTTGGGACTCGTGAGGATCAAGGTATCTCCGCTCAAGACACTCTTGACATTGCCGATAAAAGTCTTCGACATGGTGAATCCGAACAGGAACCGATCAGAGAGGCCTGTATTGGGTTGGAGCGGTCAGCAAGCTATTCATTGCATACCAGTACATTCCAGCTAAGATGTGGCCAATGCATTTGCTAGTAAGAGTTCCTCGGGAAAAGAACTCTATATAAATAGACCCAAGTAGACAAAACACCATCCACAGTCCCCATCCGCACAAAGTAGATACCATCTAGAGCTCTATTCCGGATACTAGAGTCTCGACCCCGGAGATTTTGGAGCTTCTAAAAGTACCGAAAAGGAAACAAGAATCGACATACCGGGCTTAGACAGAAGAAAGCAAGTGAAGGCTGAATTGGGTAGGAAACAAGCCCTCTATCGCCTTGGGAAGAGCAATTGATTCGAGTATTAAAGAAACTGTTGAAAAGGGAGTAGTGTCTTGTGATCAGGGTTCATAGAGTTATGGAAAGGTGTCCCGATTCTCGTTCGACTATGGAACATTGTGGGGACTGAGCTCTGGTTTCAGGGGCCACAACCCGCCTGAGGGCGCTGCTAAGCGAAGACGCGGGGCAGCTGTTGGGGCTGGTGGCGAAAGCGGTGAGAGGCACCAATAGGTGGGTTGGCGGGGCAGGTTGAAGCTCGTCTTACAGGCTTACATGATGCTATTAAGCCAAGAGGAAGCCAATTGGTTGATGTAGAAGGGTTTGGCATTCGTATTTCGCATTATTCTTCTCTATCTTTGAATACCGCGTACTGCTCTTGCATATTCTCTTACCCCGAGTACTTCAAACTTCTTGTAGGTAGCGGAATCAATGTGCCTTATCGCAGCTACAGCACCTATCGTTGGTAATCAGAAGCTGTACCCCTCAATTGCGTCACACTAAGGGACAGCTCCAGGTAGCTCCATGGGCATGCACAACAGCCATATCAAGACACAAAGATACAAGAATAAGCTTTACGGGTGATAATTTCCCATGAATTTGGTATTGTTGGTACGCAGAG